GTCTCGGGCGGGGCGAGGGGGGCGGGGCGATGGGGTCAAGCCCCGCCCACTCCCCTGCGGGGGCCAATGGGGCGGTGCCGGCCGTTGGGCGGGAGATTTGAATCGCGGTGAGGGGGCGGGGCGGGGGGGGCCGCGCGGTCCGGCAGCGTCCCGGCCACCCCCGCCGCTCCCCGCAACAAGCACCTGGCGCACCTCTGCGATCCCCGCTCCCCCAGCGCCGGCATCCTGCGGACGCCTATCGAGGTGGGCGCTTCCCTCCCGCTCCCCCTTTCCCTCCCGGCCTCGGTGGCTCCGGCTGGGCTGGGCTCGCCGGCCTCACGCCTCGCTCCTCTCCGCTCAGGTGGTGAGCTCCCCCGTGGACAGTCCGCAGCCCGCCCCCGCTGAACCGGCGGCGGTGGGCACCACCAGCCAGGACTGGGACCCGCGGTCACCCACGCCCGGCATCTCCCGCACGCCCATGAGAGTCGTCTCGAGTGGTGAGTGAGGCCGTGGGGTAGGGGGGGTGGGCTGCCCGTCCTCTCACCCCGTCTTCTCACCCCGTCCTCCTTCCCTCCACCCCCGGCAGACAGCGTGGATTGCCTGGTGAAGCAGCTCAGCGAGGCCTTCGCGGATGAGGCCGCCCCCCCGGAGCCGTCGGCGGCGACCTGCCCCCCTGAGGATGCTGAGGAGCTGGTCCGGCGGAGCTCCCCGCTCCCAGCCGCCGCCCCGGGGGAAGAAGCAGAGAGGCTTCCCTCCCCATCTCCCGGTGGGGCTCCGACTCGGCCGGCCCGTATTGCCGGGCCTGGCTTCTCCTCGGGTAAGTGCTTTGTCTGGGGGTTAATGGGCTTGGGGGGTCCCCGGGCCTGACAGCAACACCCTGGGGGTGGTGTGTGTGCCTTCTCCAGGCTCCCTTCCCTGCAGAGACCTGGCCCTGTCAGTTCCATTTGGGAACGGTTCATTTATCAAAGGTGTAAGGCCACAAGAAAGCTGGAGAGGGTACTTTGAACAAGGGCATGTAGCAATAGGATGAGGGGTAATGGCTTCAAGCTGAAAGAGGGGAGATTTAGATGAAATACCTGGGCAAATGTAAGGTCCTGCACCTGGGGAGGAAGAATCTCAGGCACCAATATAAGGTAGGGGCTGATCTTCTGGAAAGCACTACTGAGGAGAAGGATCTGGGAGTCCTGGTGGACAGCAAACTCTCCATGAGCCAGCAATGTGCCCTTGTAGCCAAGAGGGCCAATGGAATCCTGGGCTGCATAGGGAAGAGTGTAGCCAGGAGGTGGAGGGAGGTCATTCTCCCCCTCTGCTCTGCACTGGTGAGGCCACAACTGGAAAACTGCGTCCAGTTCTGGGCTCCCCAGTCCAAGAGGGAACTACTGGAGAGAGTCCAATGTAGGGCAACAAAGATGATTAAGGGACTGGAGCATCTCCCTTATGAGGAAAGGCTCAAAGAGCTGGGGCTCTTTAGCCTGGAGAAGAGAAGGCCGAGGGGAGACCTTATCTATGTTTACAAGTGCCTAAAGGGTGAGTTGAAGGATGATGGAGTTGGACTCTTTTCCATGGTACCCAGTGACAGGACAAGGGGCAACGGGCACAAGCTGGAACATGGGAAGTTCCACTCAAATATGAGGAAGAACTTCTTTCTGGTGATGGTGCCAGAGCCCTGGGACAGGCTGCCCAGGGAGGTTGTGGAGATCCCCTTCTCTGGAGATCTTCAAGACCCACCTGGATGCAGTCCTGAGTGATGTGCTCTGGGCAATCCTGCTTTAGCAGGGGAGTTGGACTAGATGATCTCTAGAGGTTCCTTCCAACTCTGACAATTCTGTGATCTGTGAAACCTTTCACTCTGAGGGTGGTGAGGCACTGGAACAGGTTGCCCAGAGAAGCTGTGGATGCCGCATCCCTGGAAGTGTTCAAGGTCAGGCTGGATGTGGCTTTGAGCAACCTGGTCTAGTGGTTGGTGTCCCTGTTGGTGACACCCTGGTTGATGTCACATCTGTGACTGTTCAGTCTGGAGAAGAAAATGCTCAGGGGCATCCTATTAGTGTGTATAAATACCTGAAGGAAAGTTGTAAGGAAGGGAGAGCCAGAGTCTTCTCAGTGGTGCCCAGTGAGTGACCAGAGGCAATGGGCACAAACTGGAACACAGGAGACTTCATCTTAACATCAGGAAACACTTTTTTTTTTTTTTTTTTGCCACTGTGAGGATGACCAAGCACTGGAGCAGGCTACTCAGATTGGTTATGGAGCTTCCATTCTTGAAAGTATTCAAAAGCTGTCTGGATGTGGTCCTGGGCAACTGGCTCTAGGTGGCCTTGCTGGAGCAGGAGGGTTGGACCAAATGACTTCCAGAGATACCTTCTAACACCTCAATCTTCCTGTGATCCCTTTACCTGGAAGTCCTTGGGTGATAGTCTTTGCTGTGCAGGCAAGCAAGATCATAGATCATAAAGGTCAGGTGGCATTTAAAATCTAGGACCCTCTACCCTCACTGTGACACACTGATGTGTTTCCTTCTGTCAGCAGGGAGCAAGCCCATAAGACGCAAGACCAACAACAAAATCATGGCAACATCTGGTGGCACTGGCCGCTCTCCCCTCAGCATCCTACAAGATGATAATTCCCCCGGTGCTCCCGCCCCTCGCCAGGTAAAGCTTATTGGGTTGTACCGTGGGAGGGAGTAACGGGCTGAAAAAAACCACAAATCTTTCAGTGCTGTATTTTGTAGCCCCCCAGTTTGGAACTGTGACCTCCTAGACCTGTAGAGCATAGTGTGATTTCATAAGTATTTTTCTGTTGGTCGTTTTTGTCCCTAGATGCCTCCAAGTCTTGCTCAATGTCTGTATCTTTGGCCTTACCATGATATTGCCCGTTTCAATGCATTCTTCGGGCTGTAGAAAAGTTCATCACTCTTGAACGTTGTCACAAGAGAGCCAAAGCTGAGTGGCCTGAAAATGGGCTACGTGTTCCACTGAGAATTAATGAACTTTCAGTTAACTTGTGTTTTACCCTTTATGTTTGTGTTTGTTTTTTTATTTATTTATTTCTCTAGGGTAAGAGACATGTGTTGGGAGAGAACGTTGCAGAGAAGAAGGAAGTGATAGTGGATCTAAGCAGGAGCCTCAAATCTGGGAACTGTGCTTGGAGTAACCTGAACAAAGAGAACCAACAGTGTCCTTTTGTGGAGAACTAAATATTTCCTTTTTGAAGATCTTGCTGTAATTTGCCTCTATGCTTTGAGAGTCTTCTAGGGGTGAGAAATCCTGCAATAGACTGGAACTCTGGACTTGTGGTCACTCTTCTTGCCTGTCCCTGCTGGGGAAAGGAGCACACTCTCTCCATGTGCCTGTTTTTATGTACAGTACAGACCCTGGCTCTGCTGTTGTATATCAGCTGTATTGACTTACTGTATGTAGAGTTCTTATCTGTAGTGAATAAATTTGTATTAAACCTTTGCTGCCTGTATCTGTGTCCTGATAAGGCAGTAGGAGTCCCCTCCTTGCCTACTGCAGTGTTTTCTTTGGGGATAACGATTCAGGAACAACTAGTTCAACCTTCCATTAGCCCTAAAACTCAGCTCTGTCCCCTGCCTCTAATGTGCCACCACAGCTGACCTTGAATCTCTGTAGTACAGAAGGTACTGCAGCTCTGTGAAGGAGACTGATGGATCTAGAGTAGCTTCTGGAGTTCTGCACCTATGCTGGCCTGAAGCTAATGTATACAAAGGACTGTGGCCTATTGCAAGGGTCTGGCATGAGGGTGAGGTCCAAAATAGGATGAGATAGTACGGTGCATTAGTATCTTCACCTTCTGTTGATAGGTCACTACCCCTTGTGGACCTCCAACTCTATAGCAGAGCCTTGGGACACCAGGTTGCTGCTAAAAGACTAAGAATAGGGGCTGAACATAATGGCTGTGTCCTGTAATTGAGCTTGAATCTCCAAGGTTTGCAAGGATGCATTTGCAGCTCTACCCTAACTCTAGGGCAGCAAGCCTTGGGCCCAACAGCCTCTTCTTGACTAAAACGTGGGTGAGGAACTCCCTCCTCTGGCGACCTGTAGATGAGATGGTGTTCTTTGGATGGGCTATTCACAGGAGGGGAGTTAGGTTTGCAGTAGCTCAGTGCAATGCTGGAAAAAACACAGCCTGCAGTGCTTATGTGAGCTTTCTTTATTTGCCTGGGCTATGAAGATCTAGAACAGACTTGAAAACAGGGGCTGGTGGCTACTGGGTCACCATACAACACAGGAGTGAGGCAAAAAGAGAAGGAACAGAAAGAAGCAGAAAATAAATAAGCACAAATATAATATTCCCTGGTGTTCTGGCAGGTCTGAGGGCTACCTTTCCCTCGTTTATGCATAGATAAGATTTGAGCTAAGTCTTCCCCAATGGAAAATGAGCCCAATTTGCTTTAGGTTTCTTTTTTTTTGAGGTTACATGACAGAAATCTCAAACCCAGCACATCTCTGAAGCAGGACAGCTGCATGGAGAAGTTGGGTGGAGTGAAATCAGGGGCAGAACTTAGTCTGGGTCAGATGTGGTGGGTGAGAGGTCCTCCAAAGGATGGTTTCTGCAGGGATACAGGACAGCTGCACGAAGTTGGGTGGAGTGAAATCAGGGGCAGAACTTAGTCTGGGTCAGATGTGGTGGGTGAGAGGTCCTCCAAAGGATGGGTGTCAACGTGGGCATGACGCAGGGTGTCTGAACTGTACTGTGAAGTCCTGAGACGTAATGAGAAGTGCTTTGCAGATCTTCAAGCCCTGCGTGAGGCTGGAAGCTGCTGGGCCTGTTTAGAGGTGGAGAGAAGGGCCGGAGTGTGTGCTCCTGCTCCCCAACCTCTCCTTTCCCTTTCACTCCGGGAGACCCCTACAAGTGACCTGTGTCTAGAGACAAGCGGGAGTGGTGGGTAGGCGTTGCTGTTGTGCTCAACTGACGATGCTCTTGTGCATGGGCTCGGGCTGTGGGCCGTGCTTCCGCTGGTCTTTCCCTCTCGGTTGCCGTCCTCAGTTCCAAATCTTGAGGAAGCTGTCCCAGGAACCGGTGGCAACGGCCATGCCATCTGCCGTCACCCCCAGGCAGCTCACTCTGTTGTCGTGGCCAGAAAGGATTCCTGCAGGGGAAAAGAAGAGAGGTCAGGGAAAGAAGTGGGGCCTGGGAGGGATGAAGGGGTTGCCCACGCTGAGGGCACGCATCGTAGGCCATGTACCTACAACCCCGTTCCTGCATGACGTGTTACAATCAGTACGTGGCTGATGAGGACAAACATGCAGAAGAACGTTTGTGCCTGGCATAGAACCACCACCCATGGGCCTGGCCGAAGAACAATGTCCTTGGGAAGATCTGGCTAGTTGAATCCTCACACAACTGATGGTGGGACTAAGGAAGGGTGGTGTCCTTGATAAGGCTGAGAAAGGACAATTCTGTTGTTGGGTGCAATATAAATTTCCGGAGGCTAGACTTTCACCCTGGAGTGATGGTGGGACTAAGGAAGGGTGGCGTCTTTGATAAGGCTGAGAAAGGGCAATTCTGTTGTTGGGTGCAATATAAATTTCCGGAGGCTAGAGGCCACCGCTGCAGAAAAATGGCACTCGGGTGAATTCTGTGTATCAGCATCATAGGGTAACCAAAGATGTTGGATGGAAGCCCAGATCCATGCTCAGCTTGGTGCCTGGCCACCAAGTGGCACTGTAAGTAGCTGGAACTGGCAAATGGCAGAGTGTAGAAGAAAGTAGGGAATGCTACAGGTGCTTATGGGCAGTTTTAGCCAATAGTAACCTTAACGCTCCTTTCCCCCTTGAAATAGTGCTGTTTAAAGGCTTGACTTCCTTAACATTAAACCCAGTAGTTCTACCCAAAGAGAGTTGTACTAGTTATGGTGTACTCCTTAAGTGTGAAGAAACTTTGATGGGTTTCAGCCAGCACAGGACGTGTCCCTTTTAAAAAAAAACAAAGGCATTTTCCTTGCTTTGGTAGCCACAGAAGACCTTGCAGGAAATGACAGAGGGACCTCCAGGAGCCACTCACCCACGCGCTCTGCTTTCAGGGAGTCCCAGATGTTGCAGTTGAAGTCATCGTATCCAGCAAGCAAGAGGCGCCCACTGCGGGAGAAGGCGACCGATGTGATTCCGCAGATGATGCTCTCGTGAGAGTACACTATGAGCTCCTGGTCTGCCCGCAGGTCAAAGAGACGGCAGGTGGCATCATCTGAGCCGGTGCAGATGGCTTCACCGTTAGGGAAGAACTGAATGGGGGAACACACACCAGGTTTTAATCAGGCTGCGCCTTACAGATTTCTACAACTCTTCACCTCTCTGCTAACCACCAGGAAGCCATGGAGGTAGGAAAACCCTGTAGGACAAGACACTGGATTGCAAAAGTTGAGTCTGAAGGGGAACACTGATGCTTCTCCTAAGACCTAATAAACGAGGGGCAATGGCTTCAAGCTGGAGGGGAACAGATTTAGACTGGAGATTAGGAGAGGGTTCTTCACTGTGAGGGTGGTGGAGCACTGGAAGAGGTTGCCCAGGGAGGTGGTTGAGGCCCCATCCCTGGAGATATTCAAGGTGAGGCTCGATGAGGCCCTGGGCAACCTGGTCTAGTTGGGGGTGTCCCTGCTGACTGCGGGGAGGTCGGACTAGATGACCTTTGGAGGTCCCTTC